GAGGAGAGGAGAGGAGAGGAGAGGAGAGGAGAGGAGAGGAGAGGAGAGGAGAAGAGAGGAGAGGAGAGGAGAGGAGAGGAGAGGCAAGGCCCATAAATAACAGCCCAATGTGTCATTATACAGGAGAAAAATAAGACTGCTCAACATTAATATGTGATTTGACAAAGATGTTGCCCTGTCTCTGGCTGTGCATTGGGTGGCCAGAGGTCACCAGGGATGGGGATGTCTGTGAGGATTGTGTCCTTGATTGTCTCCTTTGTCTCATTCTGCCTGAGACTTAGGTTCCAGTTCTGGGAGCTCTCAGCAGGTTTCTACTTGCCTATCTTAGGTGTGCAGTTCCCCTTGAGCAGACTGACCTGGAGTTTTGCAAGAGACAGCAGTACATAAACAGGTATGAGTGCCTGCGAGGATGTTCAGGGCATTTGTGACACAGAGAAGTTTGAAAGGTCAAGCTGTGGCCTAGCTGCACCAGTTGGAGGTTCCCAGAACTGGAAAACCTGGTTCTGGCACTGGCAAACGTGGGGCCAGCAGAGGCAGCTACTTCATTCCCTGAGTTTTACCAAGGAACAAACCACTAGGCAATGTGAGCAGAAAGGTTCCCTGAGGCAGAGATGTGGGATCCCAGGCAGCCCTTAGAGTTTTTTGTTCTACCCTTTGGGCTGAGGTTTGGAGGTGGCTTTGGCCTGGCAGAGTGAGGAGACCACATGAGCTGGCAAGATTCAGCCTCCTCTTCCTGGGAGTTCCCCGGGCACCTTGTTGAGTGGAGAGCATGACATGGTCTATGTCTTCCCAGCAGCCTTGGTGGGACTGGCATAGACTGGTGACACATGGGTGTTAAGTTAGGGAGGACCAGAGCAGTGGGTCGATGGGATTGGCAACACTGGAGGGGGAAGTGGGGGGTCCTGAACCTCTGTCAAAAAAAGGAGTTAGACTTTTGGGAGAGCAAAGGCCGCAAATGCACATGGCAAAGGATGGGACACATGCTGTGAACAATGGGCATGAAATGGAGAACAAGACTACACGTCTCTCATGCAAATGACACAAATTCTCCTATGTACTCTTTCTACATGCATGCCTGGGGAGAGAGAGGGAGTTGTCAAGAAACAGACCACATCTGCACTTAGAAACTCTTTCTCTTCCAGCTGTGCTGGAGGAAACACTGGCAGCCTGACCGGGGAGAGACAAAATCCCTGGAAGACATACAAAGATTAACTCACTACAAGGACAGCTGAAATGCTTCAGAAAGACAGACTTGCAGTAGGAAGCCAAAAGGGAGCTAGGTGAGGAATAATCCACTTCTCATCTTCAGCTGAGGGAGAGAGAAATTGTAGGTGCCAACATCTTGTGGCCAGAGGTGAACCTGGGAGAGCTGTCATGGGGGAGCACAGGAGCATGTGAGGAGCAACCTGTCATGCAACCACCACTACAAAAAACAGCACAGAAGGAGGGGCCCTCGTGAAGCAAGACCCACCTGCCAGCAGGGCTCACAGGTGCTGCTGGATGCAGAAGAAACTCCCAGTGCCACCACCACCTGTCGGTGCAGATGGGGAGATGGGCTGCTCGCTCAGGCACTGGTTGGGCTCTCCATTGTCTGCAGGGCATGCTTGAAGATGGAGGAGGGCATTTGTCTGCAGGGATGCAGCATTGCAGGCCCTGACAGCTGCTGGCTCCACAGGAGCCAGAGACATCTTCCTCAGCTGCAAGGAACAGTGTCTTGACAGAAGCTCCCTGCCTTTGTCTCACCCTCCCCTTCCTACAGGAAAGCCAGTGGCTCAGCTTTGTGCCTGCAAGATCCCCCCCAGAGCAACACCTGCCCCCTGGCAGCTGGGGAGAGCATCTGGAGAGAGAAGGACAACACAGAGGGCCAGGCTGGGATGCAGCACAACTTTAATGAGTTAGCAGAGGAAAAGGAGGTTCTCTGAGTAGGGGTCACAGTGCAGGGAGCACCAGGGGTAGCTAGGAGTCTTTGCCCCTTGGCCAGGGTGGAGTTTGCACTGGGCATTTGCCCGCTTGCCTGCCTGCCCCTGAGAGGGAGAGGGGCCATCAGGCCCTTCCTTGGATGGGGCTTAGCAGGTGATCACAGCCCAGGGGAGCAGAAGACAACAGAGAAAAGAGAGAGAGGAAAGAGAGTGAGAAACAGGCAAGTTAGACAAACAGTTTTCAGAGAGCCCAGGCATGCCTCCTCCTGCCGTCCTTTACAGGTGGAGCCATGGATGCTCAGTCTCTCTGAAAGCCATATCCAGGATCTCCATGCTCAGTCCTTCTTCTGGGTTCCTGGGGGCCATTCTATGGGGCCGCCTGCAGCAGCTTTAGCAGGGGAGACATGTTCTGCCACAGTAGCGGTTGCCAATGCAGGAGAGGTCACAACACCCAGAGTTGATGGGCACTCCGTCACAGCTGAGGATGCTGCCAACAGCAGCAGAGGTGGAGGAGCCCACAACGGTGTTCTGTGGGAAGGAGCTGAGGATGGGGCCGGGCAGGGTCACCACCACCGGGGAGGGCTCGATGACGACGGTGGAGTTCTGGCACTGCCTGACACAGGGCTCATTGCAGCTGTTGGCCAGCGGGGTCGGGCCGCAGGGCTGGCAGCAGGGCACACACGGGTTGCAGCAGGACATGTCTCGGGGCTGGAGGTGCACCTGAGAGAAAGGACAGGGAGGAGCACGGGGGTGCATGAGGAGCAGCCTGTCCACCCACCTCAAGGGAGCCAAGGCACGTGCTGGCTGGGGAGCTGGAGACTGTGCAGGGAGGCCCACGTGCCTCTTTGCCTGTCTCCCTGGGCCCTGAGCAAAGAGAGCCAGGCCCAGGAATGCTCCTTCCTAGCCAAAAGCCCAAGAGTCCCCTCAGCCCAACCCCTCTCCATGCCAGACCTTCTCCCCTTTTCTCCCCCCAGAACAGGCAGCCCCAGGCTCTGGTAACAGGACAGAGCTTCCAACTCACTTACTTCCAAAGGAGAAGGCGTCAAGTGAAGTGGATGAGAGAATGAAGAGCTGGGGTGGATTTTATACTGATCCTTCACTGCCCCAGGTCCAGAAGAAGATTCTGTGGAAGTCATAATTTTCTGAGAAGCTCATCTGAAATGCAAAACATCCCAGCTAATGATACGGGGTATGTTTTGGTTTCCTGCGTGGCTGCCTTCTCATTTCCTTGTTTGGAAGGAGCCCTCGAAGGCTCCTTTTTGGTGCTGGGGTGGGAGGCCCAAGGACTTCTGGGACAGGAGCGCATCTGTGCCAGCAGAAGATGAGTCCCAAGTGCCGGAGGGGTCGCATGCAGCCTGGGGACATTGGCCCGGGGCACTCGTGTGGGCTTGTTTGCAGCCCCATTGGCAGGAAGGGCCCTGCTGCTCCCAGCCCTGCAATCCTCATCTGGATGCCAAGGGGCTTCCAAGTGTGACGATGTGCCACATCCCCTTTCTTACGCCCTCCATGCTCTCTCTGATGGTCACTGGCCATTGCTTCTGCAGACGGGTGGTCAGTGCTGCTGTTTTTGACACTCTTCCTCCTAATGATGCTCTGAGGAGGCCTTGGTGCTCCTGTTGGCCCTTCTGCTCTGCTCTCTGGGCTCTCCCTGGTGGTCCGCTATCAGCACCAACACCATCAGTGTGTCTGGGGCCTTGTCTTGCCCCAGGGTGCTCCAGCTCTGCCCTGCCAAGGGGCTTCCCTATGTGTCCTCAGAAGAGTCCACAGTTGCTCATGTAGGCTGGGGTGCTTGCTCACTCGCCCTTGTGCGCGTACTGGAGCAGTGGGAATGGAAATTCCACACAGGCATGAGGAAAAACTGCTACTATGAGGGTGGCCAAACCCAGGAATTTGTGTGACCATTGGAGACAAGGAGCACCCCGGTCCAGCAGCTCTCGGCACAGGCCAGCACAGACAGCACCACTCAGAAAAAGCTGTCAGTGACATTGGGGCTGCAGTTGGATAAACAAAAGTGAGTGATATTGGATCCAAGGAGAGAGTGGCCCCAGCCCTCAGGCTTGCCACAGCAATGGAACAGACCTCACTTACATGACACTGGGGATTCCTGGGGCTGGCACATGGCCACAGGTCAGTCACAGGCACAAGTGTGAGAAGGAAGATCTCAGCACAGACATGTTGGTGAAGCAAGGAGAGCTGTGCCATAGAGCTGACAAAGCAGCTTATCTGGTCCACCAGAGCGTGTTGATCAGGGCATTGACCTGTGTGGTTCTGAATGACTCCAAGAATGAAGACTCCACAATCTGCCTCGGCCTACTGGGCTTGGCCACCCTCATAGTAGCAGTTTTTCCTCATGCCTGTGTGGAATTTCCATTCCCACTGCTCCAGTACGCGCACAAGGGCGAGTGAGCAAGCACCCCAGCCTACATGAGCAACTGTGGACTCTTCTGAGGACACATAGGGAAGCCCCTTGGCAGGGCAGAGCTGGAGCACCCTGGGGCAAGACAAGGCCCCAGACACACTGATGGTGTTGGTGCTGATAGCGGACCACCAGGGAGAGCCCAGAGAGCAGAGCAGAAGGGCCAACAGGAGCACCAAGGCCTCCTCAGAGCATCATTAGGAGGAAGAGTGTCAAAAACAGCAGCACTGACCACCCGTCTGCAGAAGCAATGGCCAGTGACCATCAGAGAGAGCATGGAGGGCGTAAGAAAGGGGATGTGGCACATCGTCACACTTGGAAGCCCCTTGGCATCCAGATGAGGATTGCAGGGCTGGGAGCAGCAGGGCCCTTCCTGCCAATGGGGCTGCAAACAAGCCCACACGAGTGCCCCGGGCCAATGTCCCCAGGCTGCATGCGACCCCTCCGGCACTTGGGACTCATCTTCTGCTGGCACAGATGCGCTCCTGTCCCAGAAGTCCTTGGGCCTCCCACCCCAGCACCAAAAAGGAGCCTTCGAGGGCTCCTTCCAAACAAGGAAATGAGAAGGCAGCCACGCAGGAAACCAAAACATACCCCGTATCATTAGCTGGGATGTTTTGCATTTCAGATGAGCTTCTCAGAAAATTATGACTTCCACAGAATCTTCTTCTGGACCTGGGGCAGTGAAGGATCAGTATAAAATCCACCCCAGCTCTTCATTCTCTCATCCACTTCACTTGACGCCTTCTCCTTTGGAAGTAAGTGAGTTGGAAGCTCTGTCCTGTTACCAGAGCCTGGGGCTGCCTGTTCTGGGGGGAGAAAAGGGGAGAAGGTCTGGCTTTGGAGAGGGGTTGGGCTGAGGGGACTCTTGGGCTTTTGGCTAGGAAGGAGCATTCCTGGGCCTGGCTCTCTTTGCTCAGGGCCCAGGGAGACAGGCAAAGAGGCACGTGGGCCTCCCTGCACAGTCTCCAGCTCCCCAGCCAGCACGTGCCTTGGCTCCCTTGAAGTGGGTGGACAGGCTGCTCCTCATGCACCCCCGTGCTCCTCCCTGTCCTTTCTCTCAGGTGCACCTCCAGCCCCGAGACATGTCCTGCTGCAACCCGTGTGTGCCCTGCTGCCAGCCCTGCGGCCCGACCCCGCTGGCCAACAGCTGCAATGAGCCCTGTGTCAGGCAGTGCCAGAACTCCACCGTCGTCATCGAGCCCTCCCCGGTGGTGGTGACCCTGCCCGGCCCCATCCTCAGCTCCTTCCCACAGAACACCGTTGTGGGCTCCTCCACCTCTGCTGCTGTTGGCAGCATCCTCAGCTGTGACGGAGTGCCCATCAACTCTGGGTGTTGTGACCTCTCCTGCATTGGCAACCGCTACTGTGGCAGAACATGTCTCCCCTGCTAAAGCTGCTGCAGGCGGCCCCATAGAATGGCCCCCAGGAACCCAGAAGAAGGACTGAGCATGGAGATCCTGGATATGGCTTTCAGAGAGACTGAGCATCCATGGCTCCACCTGTAAAGGACGGCAGGAGGAGGCATGCCTGGGCTCTCTGAAAACTGTTTGTCTAACTTGCCTGTTTCTCACTCTCTTTCCTCTCTCTCTTTTCTCTGTTGTCTTCTGCTCCCCTGGGCTGTGATCACCTGCTAAGCCCCATCCAAGGAAGGGCCTGATGGCCCCTCTCCCTCTCAGGGGCAGGCAGGCAAGCGGGCAAATGCCCAGTGCAAACTCCACCCTGGCCAAGGGGCAAAGACTCCTAGCTACCCCTGGTGCTCCCTGCACTGTGACCCCTACTCAGAGAACCTCCTTTTCCTCTGCTAACTCATTAAAGTTGTGCTGCATCCCAGCCTGGCCCTCTGTGTTGTCCTTCTCTCTCCAGATGCTCTCCCCAGCTGCCAGGGGGCAGGTGTTGCTCTGGGGGGGATCTTGCAGGCACAAAGCTGAGCCACTGGCTTTCCTGTAGGAAGGGGAGGGTGAGACAAAGGCAGGGAGCTTCTGTCAAGACACTGTTCCTTGCAGCTGAGGAAGATGTCCCTGGCTCCTGTGGAGCCAGCAGCTGTCAGGGCCTGCAATGCTGCATCCCTGCAGACAAATGCCCTCCTCCATCTTCAAGCATGCCCTGCAGACAATGGAGAGCCCAACCAGTGCCTGAGCGAGCAGCCCATCTCCCCATCTGCACCGACAGGTGGTGGTGGCACTGGGAGTTTCTTCTGCATCCAGCAGCACCTGTGAGCCCTGCTGGCAGGTGGCTCTTGCTTCATGAGGGCCCCTTCTCCTGTGTCTGATATTTAGATGCCCCAGCATTTCAGGATCCTTTCTCAGGAAAAAAACTAGATGGAATATACATCCAACTAGATTTGCAGGTGTGGAAAATACTTTCCCTCAGCTGGTAACTGGCTGGTTACTGAGTTCACTCAGGAGATTCATCCCATCCTAACATCTATACGGGAAGAAAATTTTGCAGTGATGTAACTTCTTGTGGTAGGAATCTCATTTTTGGCACCTTCCCACATCTGTCTGATGGTGTGTTACCAAGTTGAGCTCCTCACTAGAGCCTTGAAGTCTGGTCCCACTGGAAAACAACAGGGCAGTTGGACCCTCAGGAGGAAGGACAGGAGAATGTTTCCAAGCATTACAGTATTTGCAGGAAGTATGGTGAACAGGTCTTCCAGACACAATCACAAAGCTATGTAGATCCTTCAGGAAGTACAGTTTGAACCCTAGTGTTGCCCAAACTGTTTAGAATCAAGTAATAAATGGGAAACACCATGGACAACATTCAATATTATTTCTTTGAATTTGAGCTTGGCTGTTCAGAGTCATGTCTGTGGCTGCATCAATAATTCAATACCCACAAACAAAACCCACAACTTCCCAAGTGCTAAAGATCTAGATGGTCACCTAGTAACCATATGAGTTACGCTTTGCAGTCCTTTGGAATCCCAAAATACCTGCTTACTGGGAATAGGTGAAGGGATGTGGTCATTTGGGCCATCACTTCACACTATTAGAGCCAGGATGATAGTAAGAAATAGAGATCTGTGGTGGTGCAATTCTTACCCCTCCCTGCCCTCCTTGTTGGGCTGCTCGGTGCCAGGTGTGATTCCATCCACATTCCCCCAGGCCATACACCAATCTGTGGAGATAAGGACTGATAACCTTGACCAGCCTGGCTCCTGCCCCTCCCAATTGCTTGGAAAAGGTTATACTGGCCCATCATCTCCTGATGGCTTGACACACCTGTGCCTGGGATGTGATCAGATGGAACAATAGCAGGGCTGCATGTTATTCAAATTCTTGTGCAACTGCCGGAAGGCACCAGATAGTATTTGACAAAAGTCAATTATCTTGGACCCTATAAACTGTGACCACCAGAGAGACCCTTTGGGCTCTCCTGGACTGCAGCGGGCTGTGACCAGCATCTCCCCTGAGCTGGGACGCCTCTCAGGTGTCGTCCGCACCAGACAGAAGGCCAGGGCGAAGTCCCCCCGCTCGAGACTCAGTCATCGCCCGTTGAGGAATGCCAAGGTATTGTGAGTATTTGCTCGAAACTCGAGAGGGAAATTTTCTTTGAGCTAGCTTCTATTTCACCTGTTTATTGGTGGGGGTGTGTGTGTGTGTGTGTGTGTACCTACCCTTACCCTTGTTCCTGTGTGCTTGTCCCTTTTGTGTTCATTTTACCGAATCCAAACCCCTTTGTTTCTGTATGTATATGTCTGGTTTGTGTATGCGCATGTACATATGTGTATAAATTAAGGTACCGTTAAGTAAGTTAGACTGAATCTTGTCATTTTAGAACCTGAATAAATCGCTTTTCTTTCTGAGTTATTTTGTATTGACAAATAGTTGTTAGTTAATAATAAATCTAGATTATTTTCCTAAATCATTACCGTGTCAATACTTTCATCCACGACAAGATCCCCACAAGAATTTGGGCTAGCCAGTGTCTCATGATCCCCTGCTTCCCCACAGATAACACAGCAAATTCAAATCAGTTTTCATTTTCATTTAGCTCATTTCTACAATTCAGTTTTACTGAGGGTCTCTCAAGGTGACTTGGCTTCCCTATTATTGACAGTACTTACATATTCTTTTTTGTTAAACTTGAAAAAAAAAAGTTCAACTTTCTCAAATTAAAGTAGTAATTAAAGGAGAGGCACCCCTCAGGCATCTATGGTCATCCCAGCTAATGATACGGGGTATATTTTGGTTTCCTGTGTGGCTACCTTCTCATTTCCTTGTTTAAAGGAGCCCTCAAAGGCTCCTTTTCAGTGCTGGGGTGGGAGGCCAAAGGATTTCTGGGACAGAAGCGCATCTGTGCCAGCAGAAGATGAGTCCCAAGTGCCGGAGGGGTCATGTACAGGTTGAGGATACTGGCCTGGGGCACTTGTGTGGGCTTGTTTGCAGCCCCATGGTCACCATGGTGACCATGGATCTCCTGCAGAAACCACTGGGTTCAAAATAGGAGTCACATGAAATACAGGGTCTCACAAATCAGACTAGGTTCCTCTTATGCTCTTCCATCCATAGTCTGCGGAAAAGCTACCATCTCTCTTCACCACTACCAGGTGCTGGGTACCTTCTTACCATTCCCAGGTATCAAGGCTTGGTCTCCTTCCCACCAAGACCTGCATCACCAGCACCTGGGTGAGTCACCAGCACCAGTGCAGCTCCAGCTCCTCACCCTGCCCATGTTCCCTAGATTCCCCACTCCTTCCTGGCCCCACAGGGGTTCAAGCTCTAGTCCTGCCAGAGGGACACAGAAGCACAGGATGGTCCCACTGTTTGCCGAGCCTCTTGACTGATTTTTTTTCCAATTATAAGCAGATTGTCACAGGGGTTTTCAAATACACTAGGGAACTGTCGTGGTTTAACCCCAGTCAGCAACTAAGCAACACACAGCTGCTCACTCACTCCCTCAACCCAGTGGGATGGGGAGAAGAATCAGGGGGAAAAAAAGGGAAAACCTGTGGGTTGAGACTAAGACAGTTAATAGGACAGAAAATGAATAAAACAATAATTGTAATACTCATACTAGTAATAAAATTATAATAATAAAATTATTAGAATATACAAAATAAATTATGCACAATGCAATTGCTCGCCACCCACCAACTGACGCCAGTTCATTCCTCAGCAGCGGACCCTAGCCAGCTTTCCCCTCAGTTTATATACTGGGCATGATGTCATATGGTATGGAATATTCCTTCGGCCAGTTTGGGTCAGCTGTCTGGCTGTGTCCTCTCCCAACTTCTTGTTCCCCTTCAGCCTTCTCACTGGCAGGGAATGAGAAGCTGAAAAGTCCTTGACTTAGTATAAACACTACTTAGCAACAACTAAAAACATCAGTGTGCTATCAACATTATTCTCATACTAAATACAAATCACAATTGTATATAAGCTACTAGGAAGAAAATTAACTCTATCCCAGATGAAACCAGGACAGAAACCTAGAGAATCGTGGACAGTTGCAGGGCAACTTGTTGGGATCATGGAGACATGATGGGATGGCTTGCTTGACTGCTGTGTTGCACTAAGGGGATACAGGCCAGGAAGACAAGGAAGTGCAGTTGTTCTTTCTGTGAGATGAGCTGGAGTGCATGGAGCTCTGTCTGCAGATGGCTGAGGAACCAACTGAGTGCTCTACTAAAAAGCAGACAAGTAGGGGTGACACTGTAATGTGTTTCTCCTATAGGCCACCTGAACATCAAGAACAAGTGGATGAGGCCCTCTACAGACAGCTAGAAGTATCCACACATTCAAAGGCCCTGGTCTTCATGGGTGACTTCAACCACCCCAGTTTCTGCTGAAGGAACAACACAACAGGGCACAAGCAATCCAGGTGGTTCATGGAGGGCACTGATGACAACCTCCTGACCCAAATGATAGAGTAGCCAATGAGGAGAAGAGCTCTGCTGGACCTCACACTCACTAATAAGGAGGGGCTTGTTGGGGATGTGGAATTTGAAAGCAGCCTTGATCCAAGTGACCTTGAAATGATGGCATTCAGGATCCTGCAAAGGGGAAGCAGGAAAAAAAAAAAAAAAAAGAAAAAAAGAAAAAAAAGAATCCCTGGACTTCAGGAGAGCAGATTTTGGTCTTTCAGAGATTTGCTCAGAAAACACCCATAAGGTGGTGGTCCCAGAGGGTATCCATAAGGATAAGGTCCCAGAGGGAATAGGGTGACAAAAAATCTGGCTGATGTTCAAGGATCATCTCCTCCAAGCTCAAAGCAGTCCATCCCAAGTACATGAGTGGCAAAAGAAAGACTAGGGAAAATATGGGCCAGCTGCTGTGAATGGGTTAGAGGCCCTTGTGACACAGGACATGACTTTCTTCTTCATCTCAGTCTTTACTTACAAGACCAGTCTTCAGGAATCCCAGGCCCCACAGACCGGGAGAAAGTCTGAAGCAAGGAAGACATACCCTTGGTAGAAGAGGG